CTGTAATTCCACTCATTCCTTTTAACGGCTGCATATTATTCCTCTCTATGGATGTATTACTTATTTCAGTGCTTTTCAAACTTTTGCTTACATACCCCCAAATTTTGAAAAATTATTAACCTTGTTGCACATGTTTAGTTTGGTATCTAATTTTTTATTATAAGTTTAAATTGTTATAAAGGATATACTGTCTGGCATATTATAAACTAGAGGCCCAATGCACGAAAAATGTGCAAGGGGCTTGGCCCTCACAGCCACAGTGGCTTGCCTTGGTCCTCCCAGCCCTGGCTTTGTCTGGAAGGTTGTTTGGCTGTCTGGTCTAATTAGCATATTACACTTTTATTATTATAGATACTGAGTCTTAAATAAAACTGTTACATCATCTCTTCAGTGGAACCTGCCTACCACAGGAATTTGATCACTAGCATCATCCATTTAAAAAGATTTACAAACATGCTCTTTCAACAGTGACAATTTTTACAACATTCCTTTTTTGCCTTGAATTTGGATTTTATTTCATTTCCCCCATCGACTTTTTTTTTTAAAGTCTTTTACTGATAACCAAATCAAGTTTGACATAAAATGTTAATAATTGATTTCTGTGACTATTAAGTGTTAAATATTTCTTCTGGATTGAGTTAACATTACTGTTGATCGAAATAGCATAAACATATTGCAGATTTTATTAAGTATTGATTAGACAAAGACATTTTATTAGAAATATATTTCTCTTTTTAATTAGTTTATGTGTTCATAGATGAATAATACTTATTGCTACTAGAATAATACAGTGTTCAAGTATCCATTCTAATTCTATTTTTTCTTTTTATAGATATAAGTCCTAAGAAACATTATTTATATGATTGTATAGATGGGAATGAATGGACTTTTATTATAGCAATACCACTCGGTTCTTTGGACTCACTTTGAATTATAGGTCAGAAAAAATCATTTAGTGATCTATCATCAAAAAGTATTTTGAGTGTTTTTTTACTGACAGCTCAATTTTTCCTCTTTTTGTTTTATTAAACAAAAGCAAAGAATCGGAAACCATCGCATGGTATTTATTACTAGCTGCTAGGGTGGGTTCTTTTTTTCACACTGTCACCACTATTTCCAATTGCCCCTTTTTTTTGGTGGGGGGTCCCCAGGTAATGCAAAGTAATCAGATTTTCATTATTTTCGGTTAATACCATGGGGGATATTGGTGCTTTGGTACCTTGCCATGCTGCCCTCATTTCTGCTCTCAGCAGAGGTATATGAAGAGGCCTGTTTACCTACACCCTCTCGTCAGCAGTCCACATCGTCAGTCTTTATTTGATAGCAGAAAACAGCTCTCATTTGCCTTTCTTTCATTATTAATGATGTGACTATATTTTTATGTATCTATTGGCCATTTGTATTTCTTCCCTCAGTTTCCTTATTTCTATGCTTCCCTGGCATTTCTGTCAAGGGGTTGATTTGTAGGAGCTTCTGATTTACTGAGGGTATTCATCTGTCATACATTTGGTGGTATTTATTTGATGTTTGTCAGCTGTTTGTGATGGCTTTTATGTTACAGAACTTGTAAATGTTGATGAATCTGTCAAGTGTCATGCTTATGCTTATAAAAATTCCCTATGGTTTTTTAAAATAACTTTAATGGTTATGTTTATGGTCATAAAATTTAAACATATAAATATTTATTCCATTTAGAATTTATTTTTTGATATGATGTGAGGTCAGGATCTCATTTTTCCCCCTGTGAGTAGTCAGTTTTTCTAACACTATTGAATAATTTGTTCTTTCCCCACTGATTGAAAATGCCACCTTTACTGTATGCTATATTCTTATGTATTCCTGGTCTGTTCTTGGACTCGTTGAAACGTCTAACTTATTTCCTTGCCTCATGATTTGCTTATTCTGTTCCTTCACTACTAGCACAGTTGTCCCAAGATACAGGTTGAATTGTATCACTCTTGTGCAAACACCTTCCAAAGGTTTTGTTCCTCCAAAAAAAGAGACTAGACTTGTTAGCCAGGTCCTGCCTTAAGCTACCTTTCTAACCACATTTCTCCATGGGCCCTCTGCTTTTTGGAGCATAACATATGTTTTCACATATTTGTATCTTTGTGCCTGCTGTTTTCTCTTGGCTAGAAATAACTTCCGGCTCCCAACTTTTTAATTTAAATCCTGATTTCCTTTTAAGATCCACTGTAAAGCCTTACCAAACCCCCTTCCCTCTTTAGCTGTCCTTGCATTTGATCTCTAACTGTTGCTCTTATTAAAAAATATTTTTTATTGATTTCAGAGAGGAAGGGAGAAGGGGAGAGAGACAGAAACATCAATGATGAGAGAGAATCATTGACCAGCTGCCTCCTGCATGCCCCCCACTAGAGATTGAGCCAGCAACCCAGGCATGTGCCCTGACCGGGAATTGAACTGTGGCCTCCTGGTTCATAAGTTGGTGCTCAACCACTGAGCCAACGCCGGTAGGGCTCTAACTGTTGCTCTTTACCTTCCTATTTCTCCATATAGATGGTCAACTCCTTAAGGATAGTGGGCACCTCATTAGTTTTCATATATTCCCCTATTGCATTTCATGTAGTCTATCTTTGGAAAATGCTTGTTGAATGAATCAAATCTAATCATACATGCACACACACAACACATACATACATAACACTCATATAAGCACATCCATCCATAACTCTAAAAAATTAGTGAACAGCAGCCATTGTGTCAGAGGACCCCAAGACCACCCCGGTTCACCCCTGGGAGGACGCCGAGGACTCAGCATTTAGTGACACTCGTGACTATGATGTGTTACTGTTGAAGGCTGCACAGCACAGTCAGCAAAGGAAATTGGTACCTGGGCAAAGTCCAGGGGACACCAGATGTAAGTTTCAAGAGTCTGCTCCCAATAGAGTCACACAGAACTTGCTTAATTCCCCTAGGAATGAGCTGTGAAAACACATGTGAAATGTTGCTATCCAGGGAAGCTTGGTAGAGACT